GGCAAAAATGAGGATCTTAAACATAATACAGGGTACAAAACACAATTGAATCTGCCCATAGTAGGAAAACAGCATGTCAAGGATTTGGGAATAATGATGTCCGACGACCTAATATTTAGGGAGCATAATCAAGCAAGTATTGCATCAGCCAGAAAAATAATAGGATGGATTACGAGAACCTTCAAGTCCAGAGATCCCATCACAATAGTTGTACTCTTCAAATCACTTGTGTTCATCCGTCTTGAGTACTGCTCAGTACTCACTTCCCCCTTCAGAGCAGGAGAAATTGCTGAAATAAAGGGAATACAGAGAACATATACGGCATGCATAGACGAGATAAAGACCTAAATTATTGGGATCGTCTCAAAGCTCTCCAAATGTACTCACTAGAAAGGAGATACCAAATAATGTACACGTGGAAAATACTGGAGGGACAGGTCCCAAATCTGCACAGTAAAATAACAACGTACTGGAGTGAACGACATGGAAGAAAATGCAGGATAGAACCAGTGAAGAGCAGAGGTGCCATGGGCACAATCAGAGAACACTGTATGAACATCAGAGGTCCCCGGTTGTTCAACGTCCTACCAGCGAGCATCAGAAATATTGCAGGAACAACCGTGGACATATTCAAGAGGAAACTAGATCTTTCAGGCCCCTTTCCTCTGTTTTATGAGCTGTGGAAAAGAAGTTCCTGTAAAATAGTCTAATAGGGGGTATAGGTGTTGTGTTAGTTGTCTCTTCAGAGGTTGCATGGCGTTTCACTTTCCTTCTTATGATGTCTTCGACGAAACCATTGGAGAAGCCGTTGATGACTAGGACCGTTGATAATCCTATCAAGAAACTAGGATTATCAAGAAACTAACAACGTTATATGGAGGACCTATGGCAATTCCACGACCAAGAGATGGCTTCCTGAACCTTGCAGGAATTAACCTCACTGAGGACCAATTCACTCTCTTAAATCTGGGTATAAACTGGCACGTTATGTCCAGACCGAGTGAGATGGCCCGGAAAGTGGAGTTGGAAATCCTGTTGGACGACATATTCGACCTCGAGACACAAAAGGAGGTCACTACCAAAGATACCTTACAAGCAGAACTTATTGCGGAAGGAGGAAAGAATCGAGGCAATTACAGAAGCACCATACTGTCCCCCGAGCTCAAAGCGGCAGCTAAAAGCCTTCATGAGAACAAGGAGATAGTTGTCAGGAGAGGCGACAAGTCGCCAATATACGTCATTCTTAAAAAAGACGAATATCTGGCGAAAATGAACCTCATACTCTCTGACCAAACTAAATTCCAAAGGGTAACGAAGGACACTACAGCCGAATTGAAGGCAAAGGTCAACAAACTGATCGAAACTGTGAACGCCAAGAAATCCGGACTCCACCTGCCAAAGATTATTGGGGAATATAAACCTGGATATGCGTATGGAAATGTCAAGACACACAAGCCTGGAAACCCACTTCGGCCAATCATTAGCCAGATACCCACACCCACGTACAGACTGGCAAAGCGACTCAACGGCCTGCTGACTCCTTATGTCCCTTGCGCCTTCAGCCTGAAGTCTCCAAAGGAATTTGTTGACTTACTGCGGGGCACACGGGCCACAGGGATAAGAGCCTCGTTGGACGTAGAATCACTGTCCACCAACGTACCTGTGGACGAGACAATCGGGATGATAGCCGACAGAGTGTATCGTGATCCAGCCTGTACTCCTCTTGACATACCAGAAAATATTCTAAGGAAACTACTCCAAGCTTGTACTAAAGAGGCACCCTTCTTGAGCCCGGATGGGCACATGTATAAGCAAGTAGATGGGGTCGCTATGGGTTCTCCCCTAGGTGTCCTGTTTGCAAACTTCTACATGGGTACCATCGAGCAAAAAGTCTTAGTCGACATGAACTTGAAACCGGCCATATACTGCAGGTATGTTGACGACATTTTTACACAGGTACCTGATGTCAGACATCTGCAGGAGCTGAAGGAGGCGTTTGAGCAGAGTTCCGTGCTGCGTTTCACTTACGAGACGGAAAAGGATGGGAAGCTGCCTTTTCTAGATGTAACAGTCATGGAAAAGGGCGGAGGTTTCCACACTGCAGTCTACACAAAGGAAACAAACATAGGAATGTGCCTAAATGCCAACAGCGACTGCCCTGACAGGTACAAGAGGAGTGTTGTTAACGCATACGTCGACCGTGCTCTCAGCCACAGCTCAGAATGGAAGCAAGTCGACGAAGAACTCTGTAGGGTAAGGCAGGTCCTAGTCAATAACGGCTTCTCCAATGGTTTCATCGAAGACATCATAAGAAGGAAAGTGAAAAGCCATGCAACCTCCGAAGAGACAACTAACACAACACCTATACCCCCTATTAGACTATTTTACAGGAACTTCTTTTCCACAGCTCATAAAACAGAGGAAAGGGTCCTGAAAGATATTGTTAATAGAAACGTTATCCCTACAGACAAAAATCAGAGGATACAACTGACGATTTACTATAAAACCAGAAAAACGGCCAGCCTACTCATGAGAAACTCTCCAGACACAAAACAGAACGCTTTAAAAGAGACTAACGTCGTCTATGCCTTCAAATGCCCACTTGGGGACTGTAAGCTCCAAAAAACCCAGTATATAGGCAAGACAACAACATCTCTTTCTAGGCGTTTAACGATGCATAAACAACAGGGCTCCATTAAGGAACATATAATCTCTTCCCATAACCAAACCATCGCCAGAGAAATCCTAGTAAACAACACAGAAATCATCGATAGATACAGCGATAGCAGACGGCTTGACGTTTGCGAGGCACTACACATCAAGAAGTCAACACCAGCAATCAACAGCCAATTATTGCACAACTATATTCTACCCACCTCAAGACTCCGCTCCAATATAGAAGCATCAAGAAATATGGACCAATAGGCTTTCTACAAACACTTCTATTCAATACCCATTGTTTCTGTTCTGTCTTGTGTTGATACTTTTAATACCCTATTAATATCCCCTAGTGTTCTGTCTTGTGTTAATGCCACATCACCCTTCCCACCTCACTCAAATGTAATGCCACATCACCCTTCCCACCTCACTCAAATGTAGATATAAAATCAGGGAAACGCAAGTTCTAATCAGTTGTGTATTTGTGAAGTCTTTGAAAATGTAATAAGTTTTACGAAACGCGCCCGTGTCGCGTCAGACTAAAAATAAAAATGAATTTTGGAGAAGTGATTTTTGATTTACCTCCAACAGTGAAGCGTAATGTACGAAAGATTGAGAAAATTCGTGTTAGAATTATTAATCTTACTTTTTCGGTCATATTTAATAATATATGTCTACAGGAAAGACTGCTACCAAAATATACTAATATATATATATATATATGTCGTACCTAGTAGCCAGAACTCACTTCTCAGCCTACTATGCAAGGCCCGATTTGCCTAATAAGCCAAGTTTTCATGAATTAATGTTTTTTCATCTACCTAACCTACCTAACCTAACCTAACCTAGCTTTTTTGGCTACCTAACCTAACCTTACCTATATATATAGGTTAGGTTAGGTTAGGTAGGGTTGGTTAGGTTCGGTCATATATCTACGTTAATTTTAACTCCAATAAAAAAAAATTGACCTCATACATAGTGAAAAGAGTAGCTTTATCATTTCATAAGAAAAAAATTATAGTAAATATATTAATTCAGAAAAACTTGGCTTATTAGGCAAATCGGGCCTTGAATAGTAGGCTGAGAAGTGAGTTCTGGCTACTAGGTACGACATATATTATATATTTATATATATATATTATATATTTATATATATATATATATATATATATATATATATATATATATATATATATATATATATATATATATATATATATATATATATATATATATATATATATATACCCATTGTTTCGTGTTCTGTCTTGTGTTCTTTGTATTCTTTATTTTGTCTTGTCTTGTCTTTTGTATTTTGTCTTGTATTCTTTGCTTTCCTTATTCAGAGCAGACCTTTAGCGAAACATATAAAAGGCTGTATTAGTATGACAAGAAGTAAAAATTTCCAGTTAAATACATGAACTCAAAACAAAAATCGATGTAATGGAAATATATTGCATGAGCAGCAAAGATTTAAACAGAGGTAAATACTGATCACAAATTTCTATCTCTCTACATTAAAAAATTCGAAGGCACATTATACAAACAATTCTTTTAAATCTTTATTAAAAAATCATATTCCATCAGACATACAATTTTTACATTTAAAATTGTATATAGGGAGTATATTGTATATATATATATATATATATATATATATATATATATATATATATATATATAAATATATATATATATATATATATATATATAATATATATATAAATATATATATAATATATATATATATATATATATATATATATATATATATATATATATATATATTTATGCATGCACAACTTGCCTAAACACGCAAGAGAGATTATACAACCTTAGAACAATTTCCCACCAGTAGATATATATATATATGTCGTACCTAGTAGCCAGAACTCACTTTTTGGCCTACTATTCAAGGCCCGATTTGCCTAATAAGCCAAGTTTTCCTGAATTAATATATTTTTTCTAATTTTTTTCTTATGAAATGATAAAGCTACCCATTTCATTATGTATGAGGTCAATTTTTTTTTATTAGAGTTAAAATTAACGTAGATATATAACCGAACCTAACCAACCCTACCTAACCTAACCTAACCTATCTTTATAGGTTAGGTTTGGTTAGGTAGCCGAAAAAGTTAGGTTAGGTTAGGTAGTTTAGGTAGTCGAAAAACAATTAATTCATGAAAACTTGGCTTATTAGGCAAATCGGGCCTTGCATAGTAGGCTGAGAAGTGCGTTCTGGCTACTAGGTACGACATTACATATATATATATATATATATATATATATATATATATATATATATATATATATATATATATATATATATATATATATATATATTTTGTTTTGTTTATACATCCTGGCAACCTGCATACATACAAAGCTCGCATGATGAGAGGAGTCTGTCAGTGACACACACTCGTAGCAGATTTGTGCTACAGTTTCACACTTGGTTTTTATTTTAGCAGAGATACACTCAACATTGTCCATTATACATCTCCCATATTCAGAGATGCCTTTCTCTTCAAAACACCCTAAACGTCAACTTAAAGCAATACATGCAAGAAAGTTTAGACATGTGCGGCAAATGTCATTGGGTCACAATGATTCCAACTGGCATTGTGATTCTACCCGAAGGAGTGGCATGCATAGTGACACTGGTAACTCAACACTTACTCAGGAACATCATGAGGTAGTGATATTGTCATAGCAGAAACTTCACCTGCATGACACATTCTTCGGACATTATAATGAGAGCATGCTTTCTATCACTGTAATTTGTCATTATGTAACAAATAAACTTAGTAACAAGTGTCAATAACATTCGTATATAGTTTTATTCAAATAGCAGTGCACCCTTACTCAGATTTTTGTATTTTTGGTAGATCTATAATTTTTCTCCATTGTTTGACATGTGATTTCCATGAAACTTCTTACATTTGAGGATGTAGCACCACGAATAATCATGTGAAGTTTCAAGACAATCAAGCATTATCTTCTTCATATGCAATACTGGTGGTGCAATCATTGATTTAATTTTACTTAACTGTATAAGTAAAAAGCTTCTAAGTTTGTTACTTATGAACCAATTTTCACGAGTTTTACATATTTTTCATATATATAGCTCTGCAATTTTGTAAGGTCAAATTACATCTTTTTTAATTATATTTCAAGATCCAGTTTTCAACCAAACTGATGGATCTCATTCAACAATTTACTTTTCAGCAACTGAAAGTTTTACATAATATCATCTTTCAGAATGTGACTTTACACTCTCTTCTGCTACTTAAATGCAATACAGTATTTATAAAATAAGTAAAAGATTATATAATCTATATTTTTTGTAAATGTTGCCTCACTCCCCTTTCCACCCACCAGGAGTTTTTAAATATTACCCATAAGAATGAATGTGATTTGGGCCACTTAACACAAGAGTATCACAAAAGCTTTAATTTGCCTGTAACTTCATTCACTGCCTCTTCATCACCAAATATTGCCAAGACCGTTGTAGATCCCACGGGAACCTGGGTTTTACCCGCATCCTGGACCAGATATGTGGGAAGGTACAGGGCTTCTGCTTTCTTTTGAAGTTCAATAAGTTCTTGGGAATTTTTACCTTTTAATGCTATCTTCCTTTCTCTGAAAATATAAACAAAGAACATATTTAAACAGTATAAATATACAGTACTGTATACATATATACAGTGAAACTTCAATTAACGAGTTGCCCATTTACTGGCTTTTTGGATCAACCCAAAGAAACCTAATGAGAGAGAGGGTGAATGAGAGAGAGGGTGAATGAGAGAGAGGGCGAATGAGAGAGAGGGCGAATGAGAGAGAGGGCGAATGAGAGAGAGGGCGAATGAGAGAGAGGGAGAATGAGAGAGAGAGAGAGAATGAGAGAGAGAGAGAATGAGAGAGAGAGAGAGAGATGAGAGAGAGAGAGAGAATGAGAGAGAGAGAGAATGAGAGAGAGAGAGAATGAGAGAGAGAGGGCGAATGAGAGAGAGAGGGCGAATGAGAGAGAGGGAGAATGAGAGAGAGAGAGAGAGAGAGAGAGAGAGAGAGAGAGAGAGAGAGAGAGAGAGAGAGAGAGAGAGAGAATGAGAGAGAGAGAGAATGAGAGAGAGAGAGAATGAGAGAGAGAGAGAGAATGAGAGAGAGAGAATGAGAGAGAGAGAGAGATATGAGAGAGAATGAGAGAGAGAGAATGAGAGAGAGAGAATGAGAATGAGAGAGAGAGAGAATGAGAATGAGAGAGAGAGAGAATGAGAATGAGAGAGAGAGAGAATGAGAATGAGAGAGAGAGAATGAGAATGAGAGAGAGAGAGAGAGAGAATGAGAATGGAGAGAGAGAGAGAGAGAGAGAGAGAGAGAGAGAGGAGGGGGGGAGGGAGGGGGGGTAAGTGCCATCCAATGACACCGCAGGCCGCTGGAAATTACCTGAAAGGCCCACAAATCGTGGGGATCAAGCGTGAGCAAACAGAGCGAGCCTGTTTGCCCCCCCTCCCCCCAATTGCCCCGTCAATGGGACAAACCACAAAAGGGTCGACGTCCCTTATGTGAACCCAACCTTCGCACAGAGCGATCACCATGCTGACCAGAGGAAGAAGGTTCCGAAGATTACACCGGCCCTGAAACTGGTACCACTGGCCTATCAAGATGGGAAGGAACACCCGAGCCTTGGCAGTAGTTTCAAAGCGTTATATGACAAAGAGTGCTGGGAAGACGGGACACCACGAGCGTAGCTCTCATCCTGTAACTACACTTAGGTAATTACACTTAGGTAATTACGACCCTTCCAAGAAGACCCTCCCATGGGGCCCCTGGAGAACCAACAAGTCTGACATTAGATGACAACTAGAAAAAGCTGCTTGGAGAAAAAGGCGACGAAAACCTAAGAGCCAGGTCACGAGCACCGCTTGTCGACAAGTGTTATGATCCCAGGCAGCCGAAAAAACGAGTCTCCCCTTTGAGAATTATTCTATCATGCCTGACCTGACTAGGAGGTTGGAGATATACAGACGTGAAGATACAGATGTAAAATAATTGGTTGGATTTGATAGACAATTTAAGATAATGGGCAGTGAATAAGGAAATAAGTAAATGACTTGACACAAGATGTGGAGAGTTTGGTGGAGGTGTGAGGCTCGCTTGAAAGGAGCTTAAGTCACTTGAGTACCAGACATCGTGAGGGGAAGCTGCACTCCGTGTGAGCTCTTGTCAGAGAGGAACCCCTGGGTGATGTACCTTCAAGAGGAAGGAAGTGTGCAGACGTTCCAGCTGTGGAATTGAGCTGGGAATGTGTGGTCTCAAGTCCTGTACGGCATGGAGAGTTTGTTAAGACAGAGCCCAGAGACATTATCGTGGGCTGTGGGAGCGCCCTGGTCAGACTCCGTCAGAGGGAGAGTGCCCTGCAGGGAACCTTTTTGCGGTAAGCATAATTTTAACCAGTTTACAGTGATTGCCTGTAATTGATCGTGTGCCCAGCGATCATAGCGAATGTTTATTGATACGTTAGACATGTTTTGGTAAGGCAGGAAGCCTAAATAAGAGGACGGCGATGAGAGAGACAGCTGGAGGGACGAGCAGCGTGTCCTCTCCCATCGACCGCCTGGAGTCAACTGACCGGTGGCGGAGGGCCGCTCCCAGAGTGAGGAGCCACCCGCCAGGCAAGGCAGAGCATGGACCAGCCCAAATGGGGGAGTCCACTCTCACAGTATGTAGAGAGCAAAGAGATGTTAGGTGCAAACATATTGTGTGGTTATTTTTGTTTATGTGTTTAAGGGGAAAGTTTTTTATTGGTGTGTCAATGGGTTGCAGGTTTGTCTTTGGAAGGAGTTGCTGAGAGAACTTTGAGGCCAGTAAAGGAGGATTCAGTGGATGGAACTCCAAGGCTATTGAAGAAATACTGAGCTCTGTGGAAGAGCAGACCCTATAGTGAGAAGTTGGACCTCAAGCTGTGAGAGGAGAAGCAGTGGAGAAGAGTTTACATGCTTTTGTGATACCAGTGGCGAAGCACCATTGTTGATCAAGGAAGACTTCATGGTGTAGCAGCCAGGAGCGCTGTGGAGGACCCTGGTAGAAGTGGTGAAGCACCACTGTTGCTCAAGGTGCAGCAGCCTGGAGGAGCTGCGGAGGATCCTGGTAGATAAACCCGGACGAACCTGAAGATATCAGGGTAGTGAGCTTCCAGTTGTGGAAGGGAAGTTCTGGTTGATTACTTGTAGGGAGTTGGTAGAGTGTTTGGTTGTCATTAGCGTGCAAGACGCAGTGAAAGGTGAGTGATTGTTTGCCATTTTTGTGCCAAGGAGTACTTATACTGAAGTATAGAGTTACAGTCGTAGGCTGGATTACCTGCAGAGACATACGTATGTGTTCTAGGACTGATAGGGTGATCGATTGATCATTGTTGTATATCATGGAACATTTATACTAATTTTTATGTTATTGCATTCATATGCTGGTTTTCCTTGCACATGTTTATAGATATATATTCTCTTGCTGATAGTGCGACATTGTGTTATAAGACTTGACCTACTTGAGGAGGTTGGTAGTATTAGGTGGTGAATCAGGAGATAGGATACCACTTGATAAGCAGATGATAGAGTTCTGATGGCGTTGGAGGGCAACCTGACTGAAATAGTATAGAGTGTAGGATTCATTATTATTATTATTGTATGTGTGTATGTATTGTGTACGTGCTTCGTCCAGTAAATGTATTCAAATTTGCTGGTGTTTGCCCTTGTCCTAGTGAAGCTTCCCAGGAAATAAGAAAGAAGGAGGGAGAGAGAGAGAGAGAAAGAACAAAGAACCACAGCTGTGGACAGGGTAGAACGGAATAATAATAAGTCAAAGGGGATTGAGGAGATCATATCACATAAGAGGGTGATCTCCTGATAAAGTATAAGCACTCTACTGAGTTTTGGGTTTGGTTGTCCATAAAGAAGGATCAACGACAACACCCAACCACAATACAAGCGAGACGAGAAGCAAAAACCGGCACACATTCCGCAGGATCAGCGCGAACAGCTTCAACAGGGCAAATGATGCACACACTGCCGAGACCAAGGCACTAGACCCAGGAACGGCCCCAAGTGCCTCCACATCCTCATGTCAATCCGGGAACAGCTCCAAGAGGGAAAAGAAATGCTATCAGATCATGAGCACGCAAATCCTCAGCAACAAGTGTAGCCGAAAGGGTAGGAACCTACACGTGAAGCTGCACAGTGCCAACATCCCGAGGAAGGGCAGGAGCAAACAAGCACACATTGAGGTGCTCAAACTCGTCCCCCAGGTAAACCTGGCCCACCTTCAGAGCCTCACGCTACTCAAGCGTGCGGGCCCGACAGAACATATACCAGGTGAAAGAAACTTTGCAGAAACAAATGGGCAAAGTTTCTTTCACCCTGAATGCCCCTGTTACCTAGCAGTAAATAGGTACCTGGAGTTAGTCAGCTGTCACGGGCTGCTTCCTGGGGGTGGAGGTCTGGTCGAGGACCGGGCCGCGGGGACACTAAAAAGCCCCGAAATCATCTCAAGATAACCTCAAGATAAGCCTCCAACGAAAAAACTGGGCAGTCCGCAAGCCAGGACAACTTCGGAACCTCGGAACCCAGTAAGGAAACAAAGATCCAAAACTGAATGAAGACGGATCCATTAGAGGTATAATCCGGGTCACGCAGGAAGTAAGCCGCAATGGCCTCCCGCACCTTATGAGATAGGATGCGGGAAGTCGAAAATCTCCAGAAGAATGGGACCAACAGACCCGAATGGACACAGAACCGAACTCAGGGAGGGGCCGACACCAAATGCAACTCGTACGCAGAGGTGGGGGGGTGGAGGAAGGAAAACCACACCTTGCAACAGCAAGCCTCACTCAGAGGGTACAAAAACCCAAGCGGGGTTTAAGGCCCCCATGTCAACCCCTCCCCGGCCCCGGGAACCTCCACAGCAGGACCCAGGGTCGAGCCATCCCCCAAAGCTCCGGCCTCAAAAGGAGAAGCCAGAGCAGCCGGAAAATAAGGAAGGGGGGCCCACTGGTCAGAACCAGACGCTTCGGCAGGAGAAATCGGCTTGAATGCCTCTGCCGCAACTTCGGAAGAAGCATCCTCCGAGACCACCTGAGGCTCCAAACCAACTAAACCCTGCCCCGACTCCGAAACCCTCAGACTTCTCGGGGCCAGAAGCAGGTGGAGGGGGGGGGGGGGAAACAGAACGAACCACAGCAGGGGAAGAACGAGGGAGGGGGGGGGGGCAGGGTGGCGCGGACTGAACCAAAGTCAAAGCAACTATCACCCCCAAGTCCGGGTCCCTATAACCAAAACGGGGCAGTCTCAGGGCTTCTGGGTCAGCAACCAACCTAGCACCCTACAGCAACCTAAAACGAGCATGCAATGCCTGAGCTGCCTGCACCCGGTACTGCAACTGGTACTCTGAGAGAGAACTCTATCAACATCAGAGGTCCGAGACTGTTCAACACGCTTCCACTACACATAAGGGGCATAACTGGCCGACCCCTCACAGTGTTCAAGAGAGAACTGGATAAGCACCTCTAAAGGATACCTGATCAACCAGGCTGTGACTCGTACGTCAGGCTGCGAGCAGCCGCGTCCAACAGCCTGGTTGATCAGTCCGGCAACCAGGAGGCCTGGTCGACGACCGGGCCGCGGGGACGCTAAGCCCCGGAAGCACCTCAAGGTAACCTCAAGGCAACCCGAATAGTTTCTTCACTGGACTGGCTGTACCAAGTCACAAATAAGCAACAAAACTTGCAGGACTCTGAGTCAAAGGTGTCATCAACCCAGCAAGCAGCATGACAGATGTATAAACAGTGAAGGTCACCCGGAGACTAGGGGACCAAGCAACCCTCAAACTCGCACAAGGCGAGAGGGGACCCAGGGGTCGCTTCCACGGGGCCCTTAGGGCCCCGTCTAAGGGCCCTGCTTCCAGGGGGGCCCCTTAGATGGATTCACGCTAAAGGAAGCTCAGACAGGGTACTGCTAACCGGCATTCAAAATTACCAACACAGCTGCTAAAGCAGTTCCCCCTGGGACGTGTACACTCACGGGGCCCAAGCGGGGGACCACCAAGACACAATCGGGAGAAACCAAAACCAAGGGGTAGACCCCCACCAGGCAAGAAAACAAACAAAACTAAAGAAAACCCCCACAAGAGGACAACGTACCCAGATGGAACAGAGCCAGCCACTATGAGAGGTTACAACTAGCTTCACAGTACCCTGCACCCCAACCAGTGACAAATACTACCCCCCTACCTAGAGACAAACGGGTGAAGGAAGCACCCCAGTTGACTCCAAGGGCGGCCAATCATTGAGCAGCAGAAGACCTTGTGGAGGTAGCCACCAAAGTGACTTGTGGAAGATGGCCCTAAGTCCCAAGGGCAGTACTTACTGGGTACCTAGAGAAGGTGACCCTAGGCGCATGGAACCTAAGTATTGGTGAATTTACTCCTGGCTCGCAGACGAGGACAGCACTACACCACAAGACACAGGACTGGGAATCTAGAGCCAGAGTTGCACGACCATGCCAGCCTCACAACTGAGGTGTGGATAGCTGATGCGGGGATCTGGAGCTTCCCCTTTCCCCTCCTTCCCCCTCCTGGGGAGGGGGGAGCTGCACAGACAGTGGCGAGGAGACGTCATGCTTGTTTTCATTTGGGGAGTTCTGTCCACTAGTTCGGCTTTCAGTAGCAATATCTTAACCAGAATAGGGGTTTGTTTAGGGGCACTTACCTTTCTGGGTGCCTGACCAGGTCGATGACAGGCATAGAATGCTTCCAACCACATGGGGGGTGTCTATAGGCCATTGCTCCTTGTGCTCTCTGAAGGGGCCCAGGTTCTGGCTCGTGGTCCCCGGTAGGCCTAAGAACTCCATTCACTTGACTGATGCCAGGGTCTAATACATTCATATCAGCCCAGATAGCTCCGAAGAGCCATAGGGGCTCCCCCCAGAAAAGACAAATTTCCTTAATGTAATTAATTACTCACAAGCTTATATTTATTCTTTACTGTCCATATTTCAAACAAGATTAATTAAAATGTGCGTACACACGTACACTATCCCAACTCACCCAAATTCTTCCCACTCCTCAACACTGGCATCGTATTTTTCTCCATCCTCCTTGAGCAGCCTGTACAGCCCTAATGCAGCATGCCCCACCTATTAAAATCCAAATGTATTATGTTATTGAAGAGCTCAAAGCACTGACAACAATGTCAAGAAAAATCAAGAACATTAGATGTACTTTAGCGCTGTATAGGTAAAATGTCCTCTAATATTAAAGTCTATTATTCTCAAGTGTTACTCTGCATGCAAATATCTTAATCAATCATACATTACATTTTGACATTGAAACAAACTTCAATATATATAAATAAAGTTTCATGGAGGTAAGTCTGAGGGCACAAGATGAGATGTTGAGGATATAAAATCAGTTCAGAATTTTAATTAATTTTTCATGTGAAGATACAAGAGAAAAATATTATAGGAAATGGTTAAAAACACATTAACCCCTTAACCACTGCACTGCACCAAACAACAAATGGTGTTCACCCATTATTGCGCCAACCGACAAAAGTATTTTTAATTTTTTCGTACACGGTCAAAACGCCCTTGCGTTATGCTGGGTACGAAATTGACTCTTGGAATCTCCAGTGAGAGGCAGCCATCTTGGAAGAAATTCCCTGAATGTCCTAGGGCTGTTGGCTGGGTTAGTGGTGAGTGAGCAACCATGGGTGGCACATGCGCCTCTGGGTCCCAAACACCTGTCCGATGCAGTATTGAAAGATCGCTCTCTGTTGGTGAAATTCAGACCTTATTGCTTGAAGAACACAAGGGTCATGATATTGATGAAGTTAGGCACAATAAAGATCTAACACACATGCAAGTGATACAGCACCTATGAGGGCGATACAGCAAGCGTATCCAGTTGTAGCTCTGAGCACCACCTTTGCCATCTCCAATTTATATAGATGATACATAAATGAATCTTTTTCTGGGTTCAGTGATGATGCATCTGATACAAGTAGCATAGATGAACAGTGTTAGCGGCTTCCATAGATATTTTCAGGAATAGCTGAATCTCTCCCAGATTGACTGACACTCTCCGAGAATGACTGAATCTCTTCCAGATTGACTGACACTCTTCGAGAATGACTGAATTTCTTCCAGTCATCGACCTTACAAAGCGATCCTTTCAAGACTACCTTACGCTTTACAGGCTTGGCTACATACCACCTACAAATACTAAAGCCAAGGGTGTATGAGAGTGCGTTATTTGCAAGCACACAGAACAAAGAAACAGGAAGCGAAACTCTAACTGTACCTGTTGCAACAAGAGCGAAATCACGCTGTGTACCATGGACTACTTCATTGATTATTACTAACTTCCCAAGTACTGAGTGTGTAATACAGTTTGTTACTGTGTAAATAGTGTGTGGAACTGAACATATTGTAATTTTAGTGAATTTTTAACAAGTAATATTGTGACAATAAACATTTATTGTGGACACATTACAGTACAACCTCAATTCAATTCGATTTGGAGCATTGGATTCGCTGCAAGAGGTGACCTTCAAGAGGCATTTGCATCAGTGTCTTTTTTTTCTTGTAAACAATAAAAATGCATTATCATATTATATACTGTACCTATATATTACTACTCTACTAAAAAATACTGTGTTACAGTTGTTATTTATCTTATTGTTGGAGTTATGTCTATCTTGAATTCTCATGGAGCTCTTGGGCAGTCGCAGTTGCTGGACCACTATGATATGGCATTAGATGCTATGGAAGACAAACAAAACGCTGATGTAATTTACACAGATTTCACAAAAGCTTTTGATAAATGTGACCATGGTGTTATTGCACATAAAATGCATTCAAAAGGAATTACCGGAAAAATAGGCAGATGGATCTACAATTTCCTGACTAACAGAACCCAATGTGTAATAGTCAACAAAATAAAATCCAGCCCATCAACCATGAAGAGCTCAGTCCCCCAGGGTACTGTGCTTGCTCCAGTACTTTTTCTCATCCTTATATCGGACATAGACAAGAACACAACCTATAGCACTGTATCATCCTTTGCAGATGACACTAGGATCTTCATGAGAGTAGGCAACATAGAGGACATGGCAAACCTCCAATCAGATGTAGATCAGGTCTTTCTATGGGCTACAGAAAATAATATGGTGTTTAACGAAGATAAATTCCAGCTCATGCGCTATGGAAAAAATAAAAATATAAAAATGGAAACCACGTACAAAACCCAGGCAAATCATAACATAGAATGAAAAGGCAATGTAAAGGATCTGGGTGTACTTATGTCGGAAGACCTTACCTTTAAAGAACACAATAAAGTAGCCGTCACAACTGCAAGAAAAATGACAGGATGGATAACAAGAACTTTTCACACTAGAGATGCTATACCGATGATGATACTTTTCAAAACGCTTGTGCTCTCTAGAGTGGAGTACTGCTGCACAATGACAGCCCCTTTCAAAGCTGGAGAAATTGCTGACCTGGAGAGCGTGCAGAGATCCTTTACTGCTCGAATCCAATCAGTAAAACATCTAAACTATTGGGACCGACTAAAGAGCCTAAATCTGTACTCCCTTGAGCGCAAGTGGGAGAGATACATAATAATTTACACGTGGAAAATATTAGAGGGGCTGGTCCCAAACCTGCACACAGAATATCCATCACATGAGACCAGAAGACATGGCAGGATGTGCAGAATACCCCCGTTGAAAAGCAGAGGTGCAACAGGTACTCTGAGAGAGAACTCTATCGAGATCAGAGGCCCGAGACTGTTCAACACGCTTCTGCTACACATAAGGGGCATAACTGGCAAACCCCTCACAGTGTTCAAGAGAGAACTGGATAAGCACCTCCAAAGGATACCTGATCAATCAGGCTGTGACTCATAAGTCAGGCTGAGAGCAGCCGCGTCCAACAGCCTGGTTGATCAGTCCAGCAACCAGGAGGCCTGGTCTCTCCCCCACCACCCCTACCACCGACAAACCACCCACCCCCCTACATCCCATTCTCCCTTTTGAAGGTCACGCGGTTCAACCGTGTGACTACCACTCACTCCCTGCCTGCCAGCCTGCCTGCCTGCTTGCCAGCCAGCCAGCCTGCCTGCATGCCTGCTTGCATGCCTGCTTGCCTGCCTGCCAGCCAGCCAGCCAGCCTGTGCCTGCCAGCCTGCCTTTCCCTCCCTAATTCTCACTACTTCCGTCCCTTCCTGCCTACCTCCTAGCATCTCTCCCTACCTCCCCCTCCCTCTGAGCATCTCTCCCTACCTCCCCCTCCCTTCTAGCATCTCTCTCTCCCTCCCTTTCTGACTAATTCTCCCCCTCTCTCACTGATTCTCCCCCCTCTCTCATACTGCCTCCCACCTAAGCTCCCTCATCCATCCACCCACCGGTCAGCCATCACTGACACAATGCTGCATTTGGAGCCGACATGGTGCACAGATGTTTCTTGATTGTGCAGGTATGTAAAACAAAAGCACAGAATGAACATTCCAGCCTTATGGCAATTCAAAATAATAGGAATAATAGGCCGTGAATCTGTGAAGTCACAGTGGGCAAACTGGACCATCTCCCACCCACCACCACAAGCCGGCGTGACGCTTGGCGGACCCCTTCCTACCCGAACTTTGTTCGGGTAGCATGACTCCCCAACCCCAATCGGGAAACTGGAAGTTTCGGATAACTAAAGTTCGGAAACCAAGTGGTGCTCTGTAGTACGTTGAATCAAGGTTGTACTGTATTATTCATACTCAGGATTTTATTGAGAAAGTAAGGACCAAATGCCCCACAGAAAAAATAAAAATGGTTAGTTTTGATATTACAGTACATCCTCACTCTAACGAATTCTCGGATGATCTGAACAAATTTAATTCAGTTCTAAATATTCAGAGGAACACACAAATGTTCGATTAAGTGAGGATTGTTCGTTTAAGGAGTCACCGAGACTGAGCGTTAGCGGTGGCTGTCATCAACTGTGATTCACCAAAGTGTAAACAGTTGTACAATGTTTACCAATTGTTTCCAGGAAGAAATGGTTGAAGGATGATAAAATGTTGTCAGGGGAGGCAGATGGTGTTATTGGTGAGGGTTGGGGTTTGGGGGGTGGGAGTGATGTCAGTAGTTGGGGTTTAGTGTCAGGAGGCAGGTGGTGGAATTTATTCTCATTGGAGGCAGGTGGAGTTAGCGTTGGAAGTTGTTATCAGAAAAGACTGGTGGTGTCAATGGTGAGACACCTCTATTAATAACAACTCCAGTTCCCAGAAAAGCAGGATTACGGGAAGGACACATGACCATATTTCCATAGATGACATTACCACAGGTACATTAGCAGTCGGGATTAGTGGTGACATGGTCAGGTGGTCAAGGATAAGATGATTGGACCCAGAACAGCTGCCTCATTAGAAGTTGAGATGTAAGTCTTGTCCTAATCACACACTCAGACATTGAAAAGCATTCAGGAGAATGCGAAAGACTTGGTGCAAATTCCTTACATAAATTTCACAAATACACAAGTGGGTGGGTTTTTATCCAACATTTTTAATAACAATATGATGTCTCACTACAGACAAGTGATAAAATGTAGGGAAAAACAAGCGTCTATAGACAGATTCTTAGTGAGACCAGCAAGCAGAGAGCCACAACCAGATCCTAGTGGTATGCCTGCAAAACATAGGAGAGAGAGTACCCCAGAAATAGCATCACTGAGTGATGTTATAATGGCAGGGGATTCCCCTTCCAAAACACTAACCCCTCTTCTCCCCCCTCCTCACTGTCTTCATACACCAACTAGAGTCCTCAATAAAGGTAAGGTACAGTAAAGATATATGAGTATTGTAGTATGCTGTATAAAATGTATTTTTAAATTAATATTTTTGAGTGTGTGGAATGGATTAATTCAATTAACAGTATTTCTTATGGGAAAATTTGCTTCGGTGTACAAATTTTCGGAGTACGATCCATCTCTTGGACTGGATTAAATTCATAGACCAGGGTTCCACTGTATAAGATTATGAAATAATTTCTACATCGAATACTGACCTGTGCAGCTACCTTGCCGACCCCCATGCCAAACTCTGTATTTATGACAAAGACCATCTTGTAATACGTGTCCTCGTCATCATCCTCTTCACAATCCTCACATTCATCACTCTCAATAGAACCTAACGATAAGAATTGTAATGTGGGGCTTTATACAACATTTGATAAATTATAAATAACAAGCCTTTTTCAGGTTGACATCATTAGTATGTACACTGTATATCTGTATCTATAAAACAGAATGTCTGCCTGTCTGTCTGAAGGAGGACAGATATGCTCACCTAACCCAACTTTTTAAGAAGAAATATCGGCATTTATAGTGACACAGTGATTTTCATGGTCTGAAATTAGGAATTTGTTTCATGTAGAGTTTTTCAAGTCTGTTTATTCTCTCTGGTGCTTACCATGATCACTGCTTCCACACAGAGCTTCCATTTCATCTGCACCCAATTCAGCTATCCATGACAATGCAGTATCCACATTTTTATTGCCAGTACACATTAGGGCCTGATGGAAATAACACAAAATGCATTTAAACAATTACATTAATAAAAAGAACTCTTGTCGTTCCCATCACTATAGCATTTGATGCTCTTATTTACATTATTTGTTAAGACAATTAAGTGGAAGACCAACATAATACAATCTGATAAATTTTAGTTTTTTTTAACCTATCACAAATTTTTACATTTTCACACTGGCATACTCAACTGGTGATATATCATGTTTTTTATGTACCCTTTTGTGCCCATTAGTGGTACATGACAACTGCAAGGACAGAGTATCCACTAAGGTGGTGTTCCTTCAACGGCACACTCAGAATTATATACCATTCCTACAGCTGTATTAGCAATATTAAACCCCCAGAAATAAAAATAGATGTTTGACCTGCATTATAAACAGGACACATGTGTGTACTTCCACAGTGCACCAACAGCTACACGAGAACTCTGCAATGTACCATCAGTGGATCATGCCATTGCAAATGTGTTAATTCCACCTAAATTTCCAATTAAATTTGTATACCACTTGCACTTTTTAATTTTAGGTAAGTACAGTATACAGTATTCACAGTCATTTAATTTACTCTAATTGTTGCAGCAATCTTTTAAATCTTACAGAGATCAGTTTAAATTTACCTTTGTTGCTAGTCGTTTGTCTATGCCCATATTGACAAGACTATCAAAGAGAACTAGATCAACAGAGGGTTTTACTACATCCTCTGTGTCAACAGGAGTAGCATTATCTTTCTTCTCTTGTGGATGTTGAGATGGTTTGTCCAATTTCTCATCTTCCTTATGTTCCGCTTTATTGTGAGATGCATTGAGCATCTTCTCCTTCTGCTCCATTTCCAGAATATATACTGCTACTTTGACAGTTCCTTGCTCAAAGATTCTGTAATGGTTATTTGTCTCTGAAATAAAAAGTACAATTTTATCATATATGGTAAAGTTTATTTTCATATGCCTAATAAAATAGGTCACAAGAACAGCTTAGGCATTGCAAGAATTTAAAAAACGTCATATGCAACTTTCAGTAGTTCAAGAATAGTAAATACATCATAAATCCAAACCTACATAAAATAATCATGATAGGGATCATGATAGTAAATGGAGTAGAGGACATACTGTAGTCCTTCACCCAGCCACCCAGAACTAACCTTATATTACCTGATTTACCTAAGGGGCCACTAAGACTAATAGCCTGGACGAGGACAGGAAGCTGGCGGCTTGTCAAAGGTCCCCCCCACTGGCCTTGATTATCCTTTCCAGGTAGATTTTAAAACCTAACAGAGTTTTGGTGTTTACAGCTTCGTTGGGTAAGCAGTTCCATGGGTTTATAACCCTGTAGGGTGAAAAAGCATCTTCAGTTCTCAGTCCTACATTGTGGCTTGTTGAACATGAAACCATTGCTCCTTGTTTGTGTTACACCTGACCTTTTGAAGAAATTGTCAGGATCAACATCCTCCAAATTATCCAGTATTTAAATAGTTTCAATGAGATCTGCCATATCATGCCTGGTTTACAATGCTGTTAGCCCTGTGGCCCTCAACCATTCCTGATATGAGACATAACTTATCTCTGGAATGACTTTTGTTGCCCGGTGTTGCACTTTCTCCAGAGCAGTTATGTCCTTCTATGAAATCCAAACCCTTATACTGTATTGTAATAGGGGGCTGTAACCATGAGACAACAGACTGAGTAAGTCTAACATCACAAGCAGAACAATTTCTTGACCTGGTACAGGACTCCTTTCTCATACAGCATGTGGCAGAGCGCATATGAGGTTACAGCATTCTAGATCTTGTGCTAACATCAGAAGAGGGCATGAGTTATCAAATTCAGGTAGGGGAAAAGCTCACCCCATCCTGGGATCACCATATTATAAGATAAATTAAATATTTAGAAACTTATGTAAAGGTCCATGATGATAAATTTATAGATTACTTTCGAGGAGACCATCAAGGAATGAGAAAGGAACTGCGAAACACCACCTGGAGGGAGCCGATAGGTGATCATGGCGAGAATTTTCAGGGAGGGAATCATTCACTATCTTGCAGTAAATAATCTTGTAAAATCGACACAACATAGGTTTATTAAAACTAGATCCTGCCTTACAAACCTGCTTACATTTTGGAAACAGTAACCAGCTACACAGACAAAGGCCTTCCGGTGGATGTAGTATACAGAGGAACCTTGAGTGACGAGCGTCTCCATCTATGAGCATTTCAGGTAACAAGCAAGTCACTCACGGATGATTTGTCTTGATTGACAAGCTTCCGCTCAATTAACGAGCAAAACATGTGGTGTGGTTATTGCAAATTCTCGGACAAATTCAATTGTACATTTCAAGTTCAATTGAAAACAGTAAAACACAACATATATAATAACTACATGTATTATAATTACATTACAAAAAGTCATATTAATGTTTTTCAGGGGATGAATGGATTAATTTTCTTTCCATTATTTTAAATGGGGAAATTTGTTTCGCAAGACGAGCGTTTCACAAGACTTTGGTTTCACAAGACGAGCTCGGTGCCGGAACGGATTAAATTCGTTAATCGAGGCTTCACTATATATTGATTTTGCTAAAGTTTTTAATAAAATACCACATGAAAGACTGGCAGGGAAATTACAGGCCCATGGAATGAATAGTAAAATACTAGAATGGATAAAACAATGGTTGAAGCAAAGGAAGCAAAGAGTTGTGCTATATGGGAATGAATCTGAATGGAGAAATGTGGTAAGTAGGGTACCACAGGGGTCCATTTTGAGACCAACCATTTTTGTCATATACATTAATGGCATAGATGAGAATATTTCAAATCATATCATCAAATTTGCAAGTGACACAAAGATTTATGGTAAAGTGCTAAATGATAATGATGTTGAAGCCTTACAAAGAGATCTACATGAACTCCTCAAATGGCCAAAAGACTGACAAATGCCCTTTAATACTGACACATGCAAGACCTCGAACGTGGGGCATAACAACCCACACCACGACTACCAAATCAATGCCATTATATTACAGCAGATTGATGAAGAAAAAGACCTTGGAGTCAAAATCCACCATTCACTAAAAGTTGCACAACATGTAATAGTAGCAGGCAGAGAAGCTAACCAAACCCTTGGAATAATCATGCGTACCTTTGACTTTAAAGGACAAGAAGGTAGTGACTCAACTATATAAATCTCTGATGCAACCCCATTTGGATTACTGTATCCAAACATGAAAACCCTCATCTTCAGAAGGACATAGCTGTTCTGTAGAAGGTGCAACACCAGGCAACGAAAGTCATTCCAGTCATCTCATGTAACAGGAACAGTTGAAGGCCACAAGCCTAACAAGACTGCAAACTAGACATGACAGGGTGGATCTCAATGAAACTTTTAAAATACTTAACAAGTTAGAGGATGTTGATCCAGACAATTTCTTCAAAAGTTCAGATGTAACACAAACAAGAAGCAACAGTTTCAAGCTCAACAAGCCACAATGTAGGACCGAGAACAGAAGATGATTTGTCACCTACAGGGTTATAAATCCATGGAACTGCCTACCCGCTGAAGCCGCAAACGCAAAAACTCTGTTATGTTTTAAAATCTACCTGGAAAGAATCATCAAGGCAAATGTGGGGACCTTCGACAAGCTGCCGGCTTCCCGTCCTCGTCAAGGCCATTAGTCTTAGTGTCCCTCAGGTAAATGGCATGGAAGCACCATGGGAAAATTTCAAGATTATTACTGAACCCGTTTAAAAATATGTGCCAAAAAGGAGAAAGAAAAAAAGAGGATATAGATTGACGATGATGGAGTTATACAGCTAGAAAAGATCATCAAGGCAAATACGGGGGGGGGGGGGGATCTTCGACAAGACGCCGGCTTTCTGTCCTCGTCGAGGCCACTAGTGTTAGTGGCTCTCAGGTAAACTTGGGTAAGACACAGGTAGTAAATAACCAGTGTTCAATGTAATGAAACACCAGTTTCTGGGCGAGCCACGGAGGCTTCCTGAAGCTATCCTACTGATACAGTGGCACCTCGACTTACGATTGCCCCGACTTACGATAATTTCAAGTTACGATGTAAATTTGATAAAAAAATGCGACTCGACTTACGATAGTGTCGTCGACTAACGATATTTGTTGGTACATGTTTGGGTCGACCGAGCGCATGGTTCCCGTTCACGCGGGCCGACCTGCCTCAGTTTACTAGAGCTGCCCGCTCAGTGATGATCACGCCTCTAAGAAATTCCGCTTGGTCGACCCAAACGTGTACCAACAAATATCATTAGCAGTCACATTTTTCTATCAAATTTACATCGTAACTCGAAATTATCGTATGTCGAGGTGCCACTGTACTTGCTAAGAAAATGGATATTATGAGTGCTAAAGTGGCAAAAGGCCTATCAATAATCACGAAACATAAAACACAAACACTTGAGGATGTTGAACAGTTATTATTAATTTGGATACACAGCAAGGAGTTAGTGGGGTGATAGAGTTTCAGAGGCCATCATTTGTGAAAAAGCAAGGAAATTGCATGAAGACCTTTAAAAGAAAACCCCTGGAACGAGTGATGCAAATGCGAAAGAATTTAAGGCGAGCAGGGAATGGTTTGAGAAATTTAGGAAAAGAAGTGGCATTCATAGTGTTCTGAGTGTTGTGTGTTGCGAGCTAATGGAGGACCACAGCGAAAAACTGACCACTGAAGAACTTCACAAGGAGCAGCAACAAGAGACAGATGAGGAAATTTCTTCAGGGGAGGAGACTGTACAGAATGTCCCTTCCTCATTAAGAAATGTGTGCAGCATGGGAAGAATTGCAAACTTTTGCTGAAACTACTCGCCCAAATCACGGTGCAGTAGGCCGTTGCCTTAACCATTTTAATGACACTGTGATGCCTCACTACAGACAAAAATTAAAACGTATGAAAACCAAAAATATCTAGAAAGGTTTTTTGTGAGACAAATAAGCAGTGAATCACAACCAGGTCCTAGTGGAATGCAGGCAAAACGTAGGAGAGTGTACCCCAGAGAAGTCATCACTGCTTGATGTTATAATGGAAGGGGCCTCTCCTTCCAAACAGTAACACCTCTCCTCCTCCCCCACTCCTCACCATCTTCCATACGCATCAAGAGTCCTCCATAAAGGTAAGATAAACATATGTACTGTATTTTAGTTAGAGAAAAAAATTGTATTCAGTATAAAATGTATTTTTAAGTTAATATTTTTGGGGGTGTGGAACGGATTAATCCAATTCCCTTTATTTCTTATGGAAAAAATCGTTTCGACTTATGATATTTCAACTTACGATACATTTCTGGGAACGGATTACTGTACCATTGTAAATCGAGGCCCCACTGTATAGTGTTATATTAATTGGGATCATCAGTCGCAAGGTTCTTGTTGCCTACCGAGGACCAGAAACAGAACCTGGCCCCCTCAGAGGAGCACAGAGCAATGGCCAATGAGCACTTTACATTTAAAAGTATCCACTCAATTTAACGGCCTATATGGGGCTGTACCCTGGTCGTTATTGCCGGAGCTCCGTTATTTCCGAAGTAAAGTCGGGTCGGGTAATTTTTCAAGTAACATTCAGGTAGGATATATTTTATACTGTATAACTAAAATTAAATAAAGTTCATTGTGTAATTGCATTCCAATTTAGTGCCACGCCGAAGATTAAGCCACCTGGTGGCTGCTGCATGGATGATGTGTGAACACGGTCTGATCAAGTCCAGATGGGTGGGAAAAAATTGGTTCATTCCTTTGTATTGTGAAATATTTCATGTATCAGTCAGTGATTGTTAATATTTTCTCAATAAAATTTTAGAGATGTGTTTTGTTTTACCCTGAACTGTGCAGGTAATGTATTTTTAATGTTATGACACAGGCTGTGGTGGCCAGGCCATAA